CGACTTCAAGAAGCCCTTAAGCACATTAAGTCGGAGTGGTCTCACCGAAGCTCCCTCTCTTTCTGCCGTGGTCCAAGGTTCCACATGGATTGGTTTCCGCATCTCCTGCATGGGACCAATGTCGTTGCGTTTATAAAGATAGCCAATAAATCTGTTTCTGCATGGCATTTTTTTAATCTTTTGAACCCTTCTTGCATACTGGGAAATCGGTGTTATATTCATTAAGAGCAGCATTTGGACATAAATAACTCTATTTCTACATTGTTTAGAAATTTGTGATTAGTCGTCCGATTTTTTGATTATCTTGACACTCTTTACAAAGCACACAAAAACAAAAACCACCTTGATTTGCCCACTGCCATTGAATATCAAGCTCCTTTTTTTACGCATATGCCTAAAATCGGTTAAGTTTGCTCCTGCACTAAAACTGTGAGTATTGGCATATACCCCATATGAGCAAAGTATTATCCAAGCCAACAGAACTTTCATTAACTTCATTTTAGTTACACGCGTATATATAACGAACTTCTTGAGCAAGAATTAAATTAAAACTTCATATTAGTTACACGCGTATATATAACGAACTTCTTGAGCAAGAATTAAATTAAAACTTCATATTAGTTACACGCGTATATATAACGAACTTCTTGAGCAAGAATTAAATTAAAACTTCATATTAGTTACACGCGTATATATAACGAACTTCTTGAGCAAGAATTAAATTAAAACTAAGTATATGCGAACCACTCAGACATTTAATCACAACTGGCGCATCAAAACGAATTGAGCCATCAAACAAAACTTTAATGTAGTCACAATCTAACTAAACACATATGTACATACTTATGTACATACTTACATATCTGTCTATAGTTTTGATAGCATTGATCCATATGAATGATGGAAAAAGTCACCTAAATACTTACGATACCACTGTCGAAAATGCTTGCAATTGAGAAAATATTGATTTAATCTGTTAGCGGACCACAAGTATCGTATTGACTTTTTTGTTGGAATATTACCATAGAATTTTCCTCTAGTTAGCGATCTTATTAGTTGTATATATATTGAAATTTATATAAATTAACCCACTAATGCTCGCTAATTTAAGCTGTGTCAGCGGTGTACTAATTAGTCTTTAGATTAGACAAGTTGTTAAGGATAATAAAAGAAATCGATTTAAGAATGCTTATATATCTCGATTGGATATTTAAGCAATGAAAAAAAATCTAGCAGGAATCGAAATATCTCATCAGAAACTCGGAACGCATACATATGCAATTATAGCATTTATGTAAAAGCATATATTTAGTCGGCAAAGTCATGCTATTAGAAAGGCTCAAAGTATACTCAAGATTTTATGAGAAAGTTTTTTCGTTAGTTTAGAGTGAAAAGTCGCTAAGTCCACTTGTTTTTCAAATTACATTATGATGGAAAAAAAATAAAGTTCATTTAAAAACGTATTATATCGAGCAATGGAATATATGGAGTCAGTCTTTTGGGTGCACAATTAGAGTTACTCAACTATACTCAATTCGCGCAAAGTGAACAGCTCATGAGTGAGGCATGGTAATAAACCCATGTGGAGTATTGGGTCCCGGCGGAAAGAGGGAGAGCTACAATGTTTAAATCCCGGAAAGACACCACACTACTCGAAACATGTCTTCGCATGCCCACAAAACCCCACTCCGCTAACGACTCTGTCCTTGTGGACAGAGACCCTATAGAGGCTGCACGCTTCTTAGGTCTTCCGTTAGTTGAGCTTGACGACAATGACTGAGAAACTAGCCGATCTGGGCTAGGTTGTTGTGGCTGCTACGACAACAACAACAACAGAAAGGGCTGTAATTATTATCCGCATAGAACGCATAATCTCCCACAATCAGCTGTTTAGTGTATTTAGTTAGTCTGTTCCAGTACTGTAGGATTTATTTAGAAAAATATAGCCGAAAAATGTGTATTGTTTATCTAATAACTATATGCCCCAAGTATGTATCCGAAAGACCTCTCAGTAAATCTGATGGATTCTGGAACAGACTAAGGGTAAATACTCAAAATTAATGAGAGTGGCATCTCTCTTTGAAAATGTCAAATAGGGAATAATTAAAATTCACCAGACTTTACTGTTATACCCTGTCATGCGCCGCGTTGGGTAATCTCTTTTATGCAAAAGTCATTAAACGGGTGGACAATGAAGAAGCCTCCATGACGAAACACCCGATAACAAACTGAGGCTGATCGTCTTCGCTGGCGTTTAAAACATGATAGTTTGCAGTACTGGCTTCCAGTATAATAGAATCCACCAGTGTACATGGTTGCCTCCAGACTAGAAAACGAGAAGCCAAATCGATCATATTGTGATAGATGGAAGGCCCGCATTCATTATTTTAGGCGTACGAAGGCCAAACATAGACTCAGACCTTTTGACAGCGCAGATACGCTAACGCCTTTGTCCAGCATCCCCATCACTCGACTGCCCCACCTTCTCTCTGACAGCACTCTTCCAAAATCCAAAATATGCTAGCAGTGGGACCACATCTCCCGCTCACTACGTCTCGTCGCCAAAGAATTAGTTGAACTTCAGCGAGCCAGAAAGAACAACTGGTGCAATGAGCAATACCACGCCGCTGCAGAGAAAAACGATGCCGCATACGGTTCTACGCTGCAATCGATCTAGAGGGCGTGTGGCTTTAGATGATGGCCGACACAAAGAACACTTACGCCAGGTTGCAATCCTGGCCGACCTTGTGACCGAAATCTAGACCATACATTTATTGTGGAGGGAACACTTCACCACCCTGCTGAATGGTAAGAGCACTGAAACCAAAGAAGAAGATGTGCCCGGCCCCTCAGCCGATGACGACGGAATTGATGTTCCACTGCCCGGCAGTGATCGGACTTCTACCACATTGTGATAGATCTGCCACCTTTTTGAGCATCTACCACATCTACCACACAGGGTCTGAAATCTACCGCATATTCGCTTTTTTGAGTAGTTTTATTTTTGCTCTTAAAATTAAGAAAATTATCTTAATTTGTCCAACTTTAAACACTAAAAACAGGCAGAATGGGAGAATAAAATAAACCGTAAAATAGTAAATGTTCTCAATATAAAATTATTCTAAAGTTTCTAAAGCGTTGTTTACTTTTACTTGAGAATTGTCAAAATCGGCAAATCCCAAGTAGCGGTTTCTGGAACGTGCCACATTTGTTCGCTACATCGCACAAAGTTGCAGAAATCTTTCAAAATATGTTCGAAAAATATCTTGATATGGAAGGAACTACTGCTTTACACTGCCAAGGAAAAAAACTACCAAAACTCAACGCAGTTTTTAGCAACTTCAATCTTGTACTTTATTATACTAAAATAATTTTTTTTTTAGATTCTAATAAAAATGTTCGCAATTATGGTGAAAACTTGCAGAATTTTTTTAATTTTTGTGCAAAGTTTGATCCAAAATCTGATATCTACCACATTTTTTTCCAAATTCTATCACACAAATTTGTTTTCAAGTCCGATCACTGCTACCCGGCTATCACGAGGAGCGAATATAAATTTAAAAAACAAAAAAGCTGCTGAAACTGATGTCCGATGAGCTGAGCTATTTAAGTACGGCGGCGTTCAATTGATAAGGTTCACACATTCGCCGAATGTAATATAAATGCGCCAATTAACGCAGGAGCCATATATTGTGAAAGGCTAAAGCCCAACGTCAACGAACTAATTAGGTCTGGTACCACCACACGTTGACTCTAAGGAAAGGCCCTTTGATAGCCGCGTCTACATGCTGTGATATCTGAATTTTTTATCCATGCTAAACTAATGCGGCTACGTAAAAACCGACGTAGAGCAATTCGACCAGCTTCGTCCGAAGTAGGAGAGGTTTCAGACAGGGTTACTCCCTGTCGAGCGACTTTTTTTAATGTGATTCTGTGTGTTTCTTTATCTTTTTTCCTTGAAATCACTGAGTGCATCATTGTCATCACTTACCGACAATTCTAGAAATTTTAGATCCAGCATAACGGACACCACTGTAGCCAATAACGCCCTGTTCAGAAATACATTAATGCAAAGCATCAGCATCTTTTATTTCTACACAATAATTTATGAAAATGCTCCATTTGTGCAATTAAGATCCCATTCGGCATTTTAGCGTAGATATAATTTAGAAATATAAGAGACTGCTACTTTGCAAAGGGTTGTGCGCTGCTTTTGGGATCCGCCAAGTAAAAACCACAAAGACAGCAATGATGGCCAAAGTCGCTTTGATGAAGAAGATGCTTTCCATTCAAACGTCTAACTAAACGGATACAGATATATGGGTTGGTAGCCTTTGGTGTGCAAGTAGGTATCCTCACCTGCGCTTAGTATACACAAAACTCTTTCCATTTTGACACGTCGTTAAATTTTAAAAAGTCTTTGAAGAACACTAGAAGGTATTTATTGGCACTGATGACTTGATGTGTCGAATGATCCCAAGACTCACTTCAATCTAGGTGTGGTTGTTAGGTCTTTGAAATACGGCAGACTGCCTGTTAGAGTGAAATCAGAATTGCCCTTAAAGTTGGTTTCTACCAGTACCTGTTGGCTTACCCTACTAACTTTGGTCGATTCGCCATTTTCTTTTCCTCTTCAGCAGAAACAGAGTCCAGTGATTTTATACTAAACCTGCACAAAAGTTGAGCGATGACTATTCTTCTTTTAGGACGAATTTTGAAGTATGTAAATCGATTTGACAGGTAATACATTTCATGGGTCCGTTTGTCGAACGATTCCTCAAAGATGAAAAAATTTTCATCAATAGAATGCGTTTTTTCACCATTCTGTGAGTACTGACGAAGTAAAGCTTTTGATGTAGACTTATGCAACCACCAAGTTAAAAGCAATTCTCTAGAAATGTGCCTTAGAGTCTAACTGTTATTTCTTGTGAACACCAGTACACACATGAATGATGTTGCTTGTATACGTTTATTTAGCTACCTTAATTGTTTTGATTGTATTATATATAATCCAAATATTGATCTAAAAAATTGGAAACCACTCGGCACTCGGAGTATAAGCGTACGCAATCAGCACCTGATTTACCAGCTCGAAATGCTTCCATGTAGAGAACGTCGATGTCATTTTTTCCCGGACTAAAAAGTAAAGTCAAAAAAATCAAGAAATTAAGCAATGATTTTTCACAAAATATCATCCTTTTCACTGCTTACCTTAAAACAATATTTAATATCTCGGAAAACATGCCCACATGTTCATCCACTTGAGCGTTCTTACATATGGAGCGCAGCAAACATTTGCGTCCATTTCCATGTTGTCGCTCCATTAATACTTCCAAAACTGTATAGGCAAATTTTCGTGAATCATCTGCTTTATAGTCGGCTTCTGCGTGCATATTTTTCAACGAACGTGCGAATGTTTCCTCCCATTTATCCCATGGATATAGTGGCTCGGAGGGTAGAGGGTAGAAACCACCTTGAAGATTATTGATGGAAACTAGGGAACGCCATTGGATTGGATCACCTAAATCTATGGCAGCTATTACTCCGGTATCAATCTGAAATACAAAATGAGTGATTTTTTCTTGTAAAGAATCGAGCGAATTTCAATATCAATTTTAATGATGCAAAAATTCTACCTAAGTACTTAGAAGTGCCAAGTCCGTTTTTAGTAATTATTTAGGAGAGTCGAAAAATGGATGTAGTTCCGCATTTGTCATTCTGCTTCTATAACTAAATTTTGAAGAAAAGTGGACTTGGCACCTTTTCACCTTTAGGTATCGTTATATGTGGATTTATGTGGCGCTGGTTAGTTTTGTAAAAAAAATATAAACATTAAATAATCAAAAGAAACATAGTCAAAACTACCACAAGTGTATATATGCATATGTGTACATATACATATATTTGTCTCAGCACAATATTTGTTAACTATGATTAATTCATGTTCTCTGAGAAATAAATTGTTTTTAAATAATTTATGTAACTAAGCTCTTTTCTAAGTGTAGATAATATCAAGTAGCGCAACTGTATTAATGCGTAAAATAAATTACTTTCAGCTAGAAACTCTAGTTCACATTGTTTCTGACCACAATTAAGAACATTTCGTATATTACTCTTCAAAAGTATCTCCAAAAGAGAGGGACAAGGACAGCCAGCAAAGATGGGATCATCGAAAATTCAGACTTCACGACAAAACTTCAGGTAACGGACTGGGGCTGATCGACTTTTCTAGGGTCCGAAACATGATAATGATGCAGTACTAGGTTCAAGTATAAAAAGATTCATCACGCCACGTGACTGTCTTCGAATCAAAAAACGAGAATGTTGTGATAAACGGTAGGCACGCTTACAGTGTTTTAGACGTTCGTACACTGCGAGGCCCAAACATCGACTCGGGCTACTAACTTGTCGCAGCCAAGATACGCACCCGCCTCTGAGCAACAAAATATATGCGTCCAACAATGCTAGGAAAGCTCTACGTCGAATAGCTGACACCTGCTCTCAGAAAGCACCCTTCTCCAAATCGACATATGCGAGCAGTAAAGCCACATTTCTCGCTAATTTAGTACCGCCGCCAAAGAAGTACTCGGATTCGAGCGATCCCGAATGAATAACAGGTACGATTAGGAATTTCAAGCAGCTGTAGAGAGAAAAAATTCCACCAACAGGGCTGCGCTGCAATCGGACGTAACGCGAGCTATGTGAGGCCGATATAGGTAGATGAATAGGGAATCGAGACGTATTTTTCATAAAAAAATTAAAGAGATCGATATGTGGGAGTAGAAACGTCTTGAAATGTTGGCCCGCAGGAGAAACGCTTGAACATTCTACCAGAAAGCTAAAGGACTTAAGGCAGCTTCTGAGACCAGGCCCAACTCCTGTACAAACAACCTGACGACCTAGTGACTGTTATCAAGAACATACTTAAATTATGGAGGAAAGATTTCTCCACACCAGTGCCGGCCACACGAATACTAAAACATCTGCATAAGTGCGTGTGACAAGCGCGTGAGAAGCGAGAGCATAACTTCTTGCATACACATCGTTAGCGTTGGTGTGAAAACAGGAAGGCGAAACTGCAGAATGTGCAAGCTTTGGCCGGCATGAAAGTAGTAGAGAAAATTAGTCCGGGATCCCAGTCGATGATGACGGAATCGATATTGCACCACGTAACTATGACAAAGTACGAATAGCAATTAGCGGCCTGCCAGCTGAGCTATTCCCGAGAAATTAGGTAACGGACGAATGTGCTAAAAATGGATCTTTGATGGGGCTCTTGAAGCAATCCAGATTGCGAAACCTGACCTGCGATTTCTGCCTTCAGATGTCGAGAGACGAACTGGGCAGCCACCAAGAGTAGATGGCAAAATTGGAAAACCTGCATGGCATCACGCTCGCCCTGGCCACGGCCAAACGTTAGGCTTCTCACAGTAATACTAACAGGGCACTAGACCATTAGCCACATGGCCGCCAGGTTCGGAGCCCCGCATAACGGTTTCTGTAGAAGATGCAGGGATGATGGGCTGATAGGATCGGTCCAGCACTTCCTTTGCGAGTGTCCAGTAACGCCTAAAGTTTCTTGAGGACCATTTCTTCGAGAATCTGAATATCTTGGAGAAAGCTCCTCTGGAAGGACTGCAAGGATTCACCAGAAAATCAAAATGCTTCAAAGAGATTTAGGAAAAGGTTTGGTTTATTTATTTTGAATTTATTTTAGGTTTGAATTTATTTATTTATTTATTTATTTATTTATTTATTTATTTATTTATTTGCTTACTTATTTATTTACTTACGGAAAATTTCAAGGCTAGTGCCAACTCCTGTAAGAACAACTATGGCGAAGAAAACTAGAGAACTTACAGCAGTTTTTGAGACTTGACTCCTGTTCGAACAACCTAACGACCTAGTGACTGATGTCCAGAACGTGCTCCCATCCTGATGGCGGAGTCGATGTTCCACCACTTGACTATGACGAGGTACGAATGACAATTACGCAGCTGAAAAACAAGCTCCTTGAGCTTACGACCTGCCAGTTGAGCTATTCCAGTATGGTGGTGACTAGTTTATAAGGTGCTTAATCCACTAAAAAGGCGCCCCCGTCAAACACGCCAACCATCACACGATCCACCTTCTAAATATTGGGTATATAGTGCTGTTGAGCATATTGTGTGACAGACTGAAGCCCACCACCAGATCTTGGTAAAGATCTGCGAGAACAGTATCACTAAACACCATACTTTCGTCGAAAATTGAGCTAACTCCGCAATGTCCGAACTCGTTTTCAGACAGGGAGACGCCCTTTCGTGTGATATCTTTAAGCTGATGTTGGAAAGGACAATAAGAGCCGCAGAACTGAACCACTTAGATAAAGAATTTTACAAGTGTTTTAACAGTGTTGCCAGAAATACATATCCATTTACGGCAAGAATCTCCAGAAAAAGGGCTGGAAAGGGCAAAATAAAAAGGATAGAGCTAAGTAAAGAACCAGTTTCATTATTCATTGATTGAATATTTTTTTATTTATTTTAGAAGGAACTTCCAAAATTTTATTTGGTTAGGTACATAGGCACAAACAGTTTTCTTTCTGAGCTTAAAACTTGTAAAAAGAAAACATACAAAATAGATACATTACGGGTTCATTAATTACACTGGTTTACACGAAAAAGGAATTCGCTAAGGAGTGTTTTTTTAGACTAATTAGGGACGCGAAACGTGAAAAAAAGTTTAATTTACTTTCCCAAAGAAGCGTTTTCGAGATATAAGGAAAACCCTGTTTTCTAGTGGCCTTATTCATAAAAAATAAAGTAGGTTTAAAGAGCTTTATAAAGTAACGATTTATACATTTCTCAATTTGTAAACCTTTTTTAAAGCTACTTTATTTTTTACGAATATGGCTGTAGGTCTTTTGCAGTTATTGCCAAAAAAACTCCAGAAAATGTGTTTTTCAAACAAACAGCAAAAATGTTCAAATTTAATGTTTAAAATTTAGTTAAGGTTTTTGGATCCTTAAGGAGCTGTTTCAAATTTAAAAGGTCAAAAAAAGAGCTAGGGGCTAAAAGCAAATTTCTGGGGCAATTTAAAATAAGAAGAGTTAAATCTAGCACCAAAATGACAACACCGGTCGCACACAAATCACTCATCATTCTTATTGGGCCTGAGTACACTAGCCTGCTCAGTCGGACTGAACAGTCCACCACTCGAACGCACACTGGACTGAGCAGTCGGACGAAAACAGGGTTCAGTTTTATATACATGAGCTACGCATGATTGTGTTAGTGCATGTGATACATGCAAACAAAACGAAATAGAAAACATGTTGTCTATGTGTGCGTGTCAGTCCACCGTCAATCCGCGATTTTCGCGGACTGAAATGAGAGAGGTAAACTCGAACTCTCTTCCCCCTCATATCCACACAAAACCGGTTTTAGGCGGACTGAGCAGTCCAGTGTGAGGAGACCCATTATATTTTACGGCGAAGAAGCATTGACAAAGAAAACATCTGATGTCGCAGCTATTGGAGTGTTCAAGAGAAATACTCTGCGGAATATTTACGAGTCTGATACAAAGGAAGGCCTTTCCTGCGATGGAAATACCTGATGCAGAAGCACTTTTCTTCACTTTGGATTTCCAGTTGACACAGAAAAGAGTATAAAACCGCATATCGTCGTTCTGCAAAACCTCGTAACTGACATTTGTGCCAACAAAGATATTTGCTCATCGGAAGCTCTTGGCATCAAGCCCTTATCCATTTATAATTAAATATCGATACATATGTAGATATAAGAAGAACAGATAATTAGTGATAAAAGAGAAACGTTTCTTAAATAGGACTAGCTTTCTCCTACAAAATCTTGGCAACCTCACATACGAGGTTTTGCATTTTCTTGATACGTGGTTTTGTACTTTAAACGACGATATAGTATATAAGTATGTACATAAATCATTATGCATAAGTCGTCTGTTATTTCCTTCACTTTATTGTAACACAGCACAGACAAAAGGATAACAACTGTAGAAAAATTGTCAACCGAAGAATAGCACTAAAAACAATGCTGCGTTCGCATGTCTGCATTTGTCACGAAGAATTCGAAATATTAAACTTTTTAAACGTTCTACCAAACTACACAAAAAACTAAGCGCTCATGTTCAGTAAGTCCTTTGAAATCGAAAACGTAGGACTTAACTTCCGAAGTCTACAATTATATAACAACCTGACGATTTATTTTTTATATTCAATCACCTTAATTTGTCCGTTTCCATTAAAAATCAAACCGCGCTTTTGGCGCTGCAATTTCATAAAATCCGTTAAATTTGCATTGAATTGAATTGGATTTAATCTGGCGTGAGACGTTTGAGAGTAAATTAAAACAGCGCCAACGAAAAATGATATAATATACATATCAAAATAAAAAATAAAAATAATCAAAGATTTTTCCGATCGAACCGAAACTTTTCGAACTTTTTAACTGAGTCGCAATGAATTGAGAAATAGAGATGTCAAGCCGGTCGCCAACACGCAAACAAGAATTCGTAGCTTAATACAAAATAATGAAGTAGCCATGAGGAACTGTAACATACTGTTAAAGTTAACGGAGAATATGATCGCTGCACAGTGAACGATTTAAAGTTTGTAGGTAAAAATAAATCATAAAAATTTAAAAGTGCAAAAATTTAAAATCAGCTCGCCGCGGCGAAGAATCAACTTCTCATGAGGAAAGTTTTTCGTTTAATTTTTATTTTATAACTAGAAGATCCGGCTAACTTCGTCCCGCCCAAAATTAATTTTTTTTATTGAAACTTTTTGGTTCAACATTTTCACCAACAATTCACGTTTACGATTTTGATTGGCACATTCATCTGCTAAGATTATGGTTTGGTGGTCATTTGCCGCTTTAAATAACCTAACGGAAGTATTATGTCCGTGAAGAAGGTCTTGAAATTCTCTCATAGCTCGGTTAATCGCTAAATGAAATCAATTTGATAAACTTTTTCCTCTTCACTTCCTGGCGACAACACATACGGTATACATATGTATACTTATTTCACCTTTTCTCACTTGGTGATTTTTAGTAATAACTCGAAATTTTTATTCTTGGAGACTATTACATTAATTACAAAGGTTTTTAAAAGTTTGTGCATAAAATAGCTCTTATTAAGATAGCATCTATTGCGATTACACTATACAGTAAAAAGCAGTCAACTACAAATATTATAAAGCAGAGACAGTCACCTTAAAAATCGCCAGCAATGATGATAACCCAGAAAAAGGATATCCAAATCCACAGTGCTCATAATTCAAGCTGTCTCCCTCATACGTAACACGTAATAACAGTAAGGGTACCATCGTAGACGCCAGTATGGGCGCCGTTAGATGTATCATACATATTCTAAATCTTAGCCAAATCGGATCATAAATAAGATTTTTAATAATAACTAAATTACAGCGCCGACTGGCGGGTTAAGTTGTGAAACTAAACCATCCAGACACTCACTCAAACACACACAAAAAATTTCGTTAAAATCCGTACGCCCATCAAGAAAGGAATTCACTCAAAAGCACACCTACATAAGAATTATAAACACATTCAAAAATAGCTTAAAGTTGGCAGGTTTGTAGGTTCCATCCCCTTTTTAAATCGCCCCACTTTTCTCCATAAGTATGGGCTTGATTTCATATACATGTATATCCCCAGTACTGTACCATGAATATTTCTAGAGATATGACGTATAAAAATCGATTTGTGTGGGAGGTACCACGCCCTCTTTTCCAATAGCTCCAATTTTTCTTCGTGAGTATGCGATTAGTTTCATATACCTCAATACCAAGTTCCAGTACTCTACCATGAACACTTCCAGAGGTACGTAGTATGAAAAATTCGATTTTATATGGGAGGTGCCCGCCCCTTTTTCCAGTAGCTCCAATTTTCCTCCAAGAGTATGCGATTGCTTTCATATACCGCAATACCAGTATTCCAGTATTCTACCATGTGCACTTTCAGAGATATGCAGTATAAAAAATTCGGTATAATAGGAGAATTGTCACGCCCCCTTTTCCAATAGCTCCAATTTTCCTCGAAGAGTATGCGATTTATTTTAATACATATCTCCATACCAAGTTCCAGTACTCTACCATGAACATTTCCTGAGGTATGCAGTATGAAGAATTGGGTTTGTATGGGAGGTGCCACGCCCCCTTTTCCAATAGCTGCAATTTTCCTCCAAGAGTATGCGATTGGCTTCGAATAAGTACCTCCGTACCAAGTTCCAGAAATCTACCGTGAGCACTCCCAGAGATATGCCGTATGAAAAATTCGGTTTGTATGGGAGGTCCCCCCCTTATTAAATCGAAATCTTGTTTAGCTTAAAACCGTCTATGGGATGTGCGCGGCGGTGTCCGAAATTTCAAAAAAATCGGTTCAGCCGTTATCGAGCTTTGCGTACACAATAAAACGGCTTTCAAAATATACATTATTATAGACTTGGAAGTTATATCGACTTAAAGAGAGCGAGTAAGTAAGATTATTTTTTCTTATATAGCATACGTCAGCAATTGTACGCTATTATAAATAATTATGCCTTAGCGGTTAAGTTCTGCGGCTCTTATTGTCTTATCCAACACCACATTAAAGAAATTACACGATGGGAGACGCCCGGTCTATAACCTCGTTTTTGGAGAGATCCTTCCCAATTCTGAAGGAGCTGGAATAAAGGCAACTTATTTTTGTGCCGTCGAAAGCTGTTGTTAAATCGGCATATGGTGGATTTATCAGGTCTGGACTCTAGAGCACAATCAGTTCGTTGACGGTGGGCTTCAGTCTTTCAAATAATTCGCTGGAGGCCTTGTAACTTGTGCTTAGCAAGCTGATCTGATGGTAGTTGGCGGGGTTGCCTTTCTTGTGGATTGGGCAATCGTTTTGTGAAAACGAAATGAACTATGTTTTCTAATGTGACAAAAGCAGCACCTGAGCTTTTCCACCGTTTGTGAAGTTTATACGGACCCATTCCCACCTTTACTTTTACACATTCTTGTCTTAATAGAAACTGCAAATAAAAAAGACATATGTAGTAAAAAATTTTACGTGGCGCTTTTTCGTGGCGTATAATTTGGCTTCTATTAATTTAAGCAAATAATACCGACCATTTTTGCTTTGCAGGAACACACGTTTTTTTTTAAGGCATGGATAACATGGTTCAACACAATGTGGTCGTATTTTATCTAAAAAAAAATCCATCTGCATGACGTAGAATCAATCAGACTAACTGGATTTTCATTAATATGTGTTTTTTTTCTTCAGAAAAGCTACGATCAAATTCCATTTTTCAACACTTCAACCGTCTTTTTCTCAAAAACTGGACGAGCTAGAAAAATGTTGTAAATGTATTTTAAATCCGCCTAAAAAAATATCTATAATAAATAAATTTTTTTTTGGATTTTCATTAATATGTGTTTTTTTTTTCTTCAGAAAAGCTACGTTCAAATTCTTTTTCAACACTTCAACCGTCTTTTTCTCAAAAACTGGACGAGCTAGAAAAATGTTGTAAATGTATTTTAAATCCGCCTAAAAAAATATCTATAATAAATAAATTTTTTTTTGGATTTTCATTAATATGTGTTTTTTTTTTCTTCAGAAAAGCTACGTTCAAATTCTTTTTCAACACTTCAACCGTCTTTTTCTCAAAAACTGGACGAGCTAGAAAAATGTTGTAAATGTATTTTAAATCCGCCTAAAAAAATATCTATAATAAATAAATTTTGTTTAACCCTGTAAGTTAACAAAATGCTTTGTGGTTTTCTGATTTTTTTGGGGCTTTGCAACATTGTTTTGATTTCGGGATTGTTCGAGGTTATTTCGGTACTTGTCGAAATTTTTTGAATCGTAATTTCCAGAATTTTGGCTAAGGTTTCGGTTTAAGGAAATTTTCGAGATTTTTCAGAACTTTATTGAAGATTTCAAGTCACAAGTTTATTTACATTTTTCGAGACTTTTTTGAACTCTTCGAAAGTTCCTTTAGGACTCTTCAAAATTTAATTTTCACAGATTTTTTCTGGATTTGTTTGGAATTTTCGTGAGTTTAAACTTTGTGTTGTAGCGGCATATTAGATGCAGCGGCAAACTTTGAGGCGCCGTAGAAATCACAGCAGGGATGAGGTAAGGTTTGTGACTTTGTTAGGCTGTAAATCATAATTTGTTTTGTTGATGTTTAAAAAATAAAACGCAAAAGCCCGTTTTTTCCGATCATAAAAATATAAAGCAAGTTTGCTATCTAAATATTTACGCCTTGAAAAATAGAAACGACGAGTAACACTACTCAACAATTTTTGATCAATTTTAACCACCAAGAATGACATAGAACTTTTCTAACGTACAATTTTATCCTTATTCCGAATATCATAATGGCTTCTCTGGGTCAGATCTAATTTTTGAGATATGGGTGAAAATATGGAAAACCCCATAGTTGCGGCAGATTACATCACATATGTGGATCGAAAAGTTGTATTTGATTTATATCTGAGAGAGATTTGTAAAGGAGACTCCAACAAAGATTTTTAGCCTTCACAGTCATAAATCACACAACTGGTTTGGTCACTATAGAAAAAAACATGCAGAAAATGTATGAACAAACTCATTTTTCTTACATATTTTCAGATTCGACCGCCTTAAAATCAGAAAAAGTGTTCGGAGCAAAAAAAATTAGCTCCTATGCTAAAGAGAATTCCATTACGAAAATATTGAGCCTACTGACGGAGCTACATTATGTATTTTTGATTTTATACTTTTGGTTTTCTACATTGCGGAAAATTCACAAATCAAAATCTGCCATAATTTTTAAGAAACAGCTTAAAAGCTGCTCGAAAAAAATTTGGTTTTACCATTGAAATTATAAAATTTCATGTTATCCACGAAAATATTTTGGATGAATTTCACCAAAAATTTAGTTTATTTTTAAAAATTGCCATTTTAGTACCTTTTTCCGGGTTAAAAAATTAGTTGCCATTTGAAATTAAATAGGGCCAACAATGGCAGGATTTCAGTCAAATTGGCTGGTATGTTTATTTCAGCGAATATGGGACTTCGATATTTAGCTTTATGTTAATGTTTCGAAATAAAGGTTTGTTCTGCGTTTAGTTTCATAACGATGAATTGGGAAAAAACATTGCAGTCTAACTTATTTTTTTTTACGAATTTCATCGATTTTTAACGATTCCGAATGAATCAGATTTATCTCTATAATAGAAGTTTTCAATTAGGGCACTCGCGAATAATACATTCTATAAATTCTTCAATGAATTTATAATCCAATTTTATGCCTGTTGAATATATGAAAGGCTCCCACTGTGGCCAAAACGAGCCGCATATGAAAAATTAAAGTAAATATTTGGGTTTTGTATTAACTAGA